AGTAAGCTAAAATTTGGCACAAAGGTTGCTAATGGTTCGTAACTGAAGAATATTAAGTGAAATTGTCAAATTTCTTAACCAGAGGCACCCTATGGGGTGACCCACACCGATTTTTCAACATGGTCCAATCGAGCTGAAATTTGGTGCATAGGTTGCTAATGACCCCTAATTGAAGAATGTTAATAAAAATCTGAAAAATTTTAGTCTGGAGGGACCCTATCGGGCGATTCGCACCGACTTTTCAAAATTATCATATCTAGCTGAAATTTGGTATTTAGGCTACTAATTGAAACTAATGCAAGAATATGAATTTAGATTGGAAAAATCAGTATTTTTTTAATTTATTGGTGTGCAATAACATTTCATGCAAAAAAAGTCCTATTGAGTGATAACCACAACTTGGCCTGACTCGGGCTATATCAAGTCTGCACTGTAGGTTTTTAAATCATTGGTTCAAAAGTGTCATATTTGAAACAACTCGATTGACGCTGAATAACTTTTGAATAGGCAGACAAATCTCCAAATCTCCAATCTCTGATTTCCAAAATATCAGTTTTTCAGGAATACCATAGCCAATTATTATCTCACAAAATTCTATAATATAGCAAAATGGTCGTATGATCCAGACCGGTCGTAATACACCCCACTGAATGGGGTGTGGGCACTTGAATCGCATTTTACCTTTTGGTGGTCATCTCAATCCAACTTAGCAACCATCCACCCACACCATTTTTTCAATACATAATTAAAATTTAATTTCTTCAAAATTAATATTTGTTTTGGAAACAATTCATTTGTCGCAACATGTATAGAATGATAAAGCGTCAAGTAATATTGCAACATGCCCAATTGCTGGGTAAATTTGCGAAGAAAAATCCTTTCCAGCAAAAGTTTTGCGAAATCTCACAAATTTCGCAAAACTTCGCAAGTTATGTTGCTATGCTCAATTTGCGAAATATGCGAGATATGCGAAGGCTGACATGTGTATGCTCATTGTCATTAATTTTCAATATTTGTATAATTATAAAATAAGTAACAACAATAAAAACTTAGCATAATTATAATGAGCGAACTCACGTCAACATTTGCAAAATTTTGCGAAATTTGAGATTTCCAAACACTTTTGTTAGACAACCATTTTTTTGCAAATTTACCCAGCAAATAGGCATGTTGCTATTTAGCAAGATTATTTGACACTTTATCAGTCTATCAGAATTGCACAAATCCAAGGAAACAACACGAAAATAGGTGTTTTTAGAAAGATTTATGCATACACTGTCAGGTCTTAGGTGAGGGTTTTTAAATAAAATTCTTAGGTGAGGGATCAATCCATGAAAGTTAACAAAATCTTAATATTAATTTTGGATCTTTATATTTGCAGCAATGGGAGGCATAAGTAGAAAGAGAGCCGCATCCAGAAGAAATGGGCTACTTTTTACAAATACAATAATCGTTGAAAATGTTCCAAGAGTCAATCAACCTTGCTGTGTCTCACCTATAAATTATGGAAGTGTAATACCTGAAAGGTTGGACTGTGTAACTCCCAGTAGGACAAAAACCTATTCGAAACTTAAAAAAACAGTAACACCGAAATCTCTCCCAAATGTCACAACACCTCAGACTAGAAGGTTCATCAGTAAAAGTTTTTGTGGCCGCAGGCTGTCTTTCACAGAAGACGAAGTCACAGAAGTGGACAATGAAACTCCAAAAATTGAGGGCAGGAGGTTATTTACAACTGATGCAATCGATTGGCTGATGCGCTATAGTTCTAAGCATGGGACAAAATGTTCAGGAGAACTGTACTTTGAAAAAGAGACACGTACTGGAATGCGTTCCAGTTTTGTGGTTAGGTGTAAACAATGCAACGAAGTATTCGTGTTGGACAGTGACACTGGCAAAAAAACTACACAGGTGACCGATGCTTCCATATGGGCAACTAATTCCACAGGAATGGGATACACAGCATTAGAACATTTTTTGGCTTGCTTGGATGTCCCCTGTATGGCGTCAAAGACGTACTATAAGCACGAAGCACGATTTATGGAAGATCTTGAAATTGCTTGGAAAGATCTCCTGCTTGAAAATGGAAAGAAAGAGAGAGAGATGGCGGTTGCGCTTGGACAGGTTGATAGCGATGGTATCGCGTGGACTGACGTCTACGCTGATGGAGAGTGGAGCCAACGTTGTTACAACCAAAATGGAAAGGCAAAGTCTGGAAGTGCAGTAATTATTGGTGCACTAACCAAGCTACCGTTATTCGTAGGTGTCCGAAACAGTTACTGTTTGATTTGTGCCAGGAACAATGGACAAAGTCACGAAAAATGCTACAAGAATTGGGAAGGATCGCCGCAGGCTATGGAGGCCGATATAATCCGCGAAGGATTTGAACAGAGCATTGAAATGCATCAGTTGCGATTTAAAAAACTTATTGGGGACGGAGATTCGAGCGTGTTCAATGAAATACAATATATTTATGCCAAAGGCACTTCTCCATTCTATGAGGTTGAAAAAATAAATTGTGTAAATCACGCCATACGGCGACTCAATACGAATATACTCAGTCTTGTTGGCGATACAGGTTACGACCTCAGCTGCAGATCTATCGTACAAAGTCGATGGTCTTCTATAGGCAAGTATTGCCAATATGTAATTGAACATAATCGTGTCAATCGACCACAAACAAATCAGGACACTTTGCGGTCCGACATTAAATCGGTTATGTTACATGTGTTGGGTTGTCATCGAAATTGTAAAAATTACTTTTGTGATGACGGGAAAATTATAGTGCCGGATAAATACAAATCAAGCGAACAAAATACAAATTCCGTCGAAGATGGTCAGCGGACGGATACGCAAAAGCTAGTGCACGATCCTGATGTTTCCAACGGAATGAAACTCAAGGATCCCAAATTCTACAACAAACTTAAAGAAATATTTGCCAGACTGGCAAATCATTCAAAATCATTGCTACTTGGTTTAACCAACAATATTGCAGAATGCTTCCAAGCACAAATAAACAAGTTTGCCCAGGGTAGACGAGTAAATTGTACTGGTCGTGGTACATATAACCTGAAGGTTATAGAAGCCACCTTTGGATTTCAATTTGGTGCAGGCTGGACGAAATCTGCATTCGAGAGATCGAGGAACACCCCGACTGGAGGTCAATGGACAAAAAAATTAACTCAAGGAATCCAACGCAGAGCAAGAGCTCATGCGAGAAACAGAAAACCTAGGAGAAGAATATTTTCAAAATTTTCAAGAAAAGGGTTGCCCGAGTTTTTCAGTAAGAGGAGGAAACCGATGGGGGACCCATCATATGGTGGAAATGCTGAGGATGTTGGCTTGTCCGGTTCAAACTTGAAAGACAGAGAAGACGAGTTTGTTGCTAAACATTCAATCACTTCAAGTGAAGAGCAATTGAAAATCCATGAGGAAACTGTCGGACAGTTCTTGAATCCTTTGTACGTTGAAAACCGGCAGTTCATGATAACAGCTAGTATAGATACTCTCTTTAGCAGATAAGACTGCCAACGTGGCTTTGCTTGACGACCTATTAGAACCTCCAAACCTGAATGCCAATCCAGCTATAATCTGGGGTAAACAAAATGAAGCAAAAGCTATTAAGCTTTATGAAAAACAATGCAACGTAGTTGTACAACCGTCGGGACTTTTTAAATCTTTGGAGTTTGGACTAATTGGCGCCTCACCCGATGGACTAGTTGGAGAAGACGGAATCGTCGAAGTAAAATGTCCACACAAGGAAAGGTTTACAAAACCAACCGACGTAATTTTACGGAAATCCTATGCATTACGACTAGGTAAAAGTTCTACACCCGCCCAGCCTATCTATGAGTTTTCTAAGACTTCTCACTACTACGTGCAGGTTGTAACGCAGTTACACATAACCGGTAGAAAGTGGTGCGATTTCATTATATGGACTCAAGGTCCATTAGAGGAAACCACTGGGAAACCAATTAATCCTGATCGAGAGATGCATGTTACTAGAGTTTACAGAAGTGATGAAACTTTGCAAAAGTGGAATGCAATTCGGGATAAACTGAAAAAGTTTTATTTGGAAGACTATGCTCCAGAGATAGTCGATTCTATGTTCCATAGGAATATGGGCTATCGTCAACCGACCTACAGGCTAGAAGCCTACCGATTGGCGCAAAAAAATAAGACCGACAAATTGATAAACACAATTACAACGGCACAAATACCTGGAAGGTCACACGCCAGTACCACGGAGGATACAATTAATCCGACAACCGGAGAACCTCCCAAGAAGAAACAAACTCGTCGCCGAAAATCGGTTCCAACCACCATGGAGTAAGAATTTTGTTTGGAAAGAAGCAAACATCGCAACAATATATTTCGTATAAAAATTACTAGTTACTTTTAGTCTTTTCAATCACAAAAAATTTTGTATTAATTTCAACGATTTCTAAAATAAAAATTTACAGTTTCAGATAAATATTGTTGTACTGTTGATATATTCTATCATAACTACGAGTTTAATTTACATTAATTCATATTTATTTACCTCGTATATTTTTTAGTCGCAGCAGTATATTATATTTTACAATAATGTAGTTTACCATTTTTCATGTATTACGAGTATTTATGATTTGTTTGATTCAAAACATAATAGCATGCATGTGTAAAAAATGTACTGAAAATATTTACGCACATAAAAAGAAAAATTATGCACCTAAGAAAAACGAAATACACTAATTTATGCGCATAAAAAACGAAAGAAAAAAATACGTACCTAAGAAAAATGAATAAAATAATGTATGCCTATAAAAACGAAAAAAATACACACCTAAGAAAAATGAATAAAATAATGTATGCACATAAAAAACAAAAAAATGATTTGCGCACCTAAGAAAAATGTAACAAATGAAAATAGGATGCATGCGTAAGAAAAATGAAATTGATGAATGAAAATGAATAAAAAAAATTATGAAAATTTAAACAAACATTTATCATTTTTTCAAAGTTTATTTTCATATTTTTAATTGTCCAAAAAACTTATACTGAAGAGTAGACCCCCACGATCTCGTACACGCTTCCACACAAAAAGCAGATGTGCCCCGTGATCTCCATGTCTGAAAATTTTGTAAATAATTAATAATTAATAAATACATAAATAATGGGTGAAATATTACGGTTAGAATTTAAAAAAATGAATTTAAAAAAAGACCCACCAGCTCCTACAGGCGCGAAGCAAAGACCGCATCGTCGATCGGCGAAGCGGACTCGACATTGGCTGCATGAAGGGGCCCGTGGGTGGGCCATTGCCCCGCAGGCAAAACAATGTCGATATGCATAAACATTCTGCAAAAAATCATAAAAAACAAAGTGTAAAAAAATAAATCTAAAAAGAAAATGCTAAAAAAAGTAGAAATTTACCCGCCGGAGATTATTCGCTGGGATGGGAGCGCCAGGGTTCACAGCCTGGTTGGGTTGGATGGGGGTGGGTGCCCTGTACGGCCGTACACTTCGGCCATCACGAAGGGGGTAGGGCTGACGTCGCCCAAATCCCCCTGGAACCGACCCGCGTGCCCTTCCTCGAGGACGGATTTGCCGTGGTGGAGAATCACCAACGCTGATCCTCTCTACTGGACCGTCCCTGCCTCTTTGACTACGGTCTGGTTCTTCCTTCTTTTCCTTGACTTCACTTTCCTTCTTTTCCTTGACTTCACTTTCCTTCTTTTCCTTGTCTTCACCTTCCTTTTTTTCCTTGTCTTCATCTTCTTCCACTTTTTCTGTCACATGTTCAACTTTGTTTTCATTTGGTCTCCGGGGTGGGGGTGGAGGAGGTGGCGGCATTGAGCAGGTCAAGCTTGTCTGGAAACAGCAATTTGTGAGCTTATTATTCAGAAAACTTTGGAAATATCAAAGTGCTCAAATCATTCGACAAGATAATTTGAATTAAACATATCGACTCAGTGAAGACAGTGTGGAAATCATTTTGCACAAATAAAATAGCTTAAATAAAACATCCTAACAAGACGCTAATTAATATCAGTTTAAAATGTCGATACATAATTATAGCCACTTATTGCTTCTAATTCAACAAAAACTTTGGAAATTTTAAATTTTCGCAAAAGAACTCAACAAATACAAATATACTTATTTATATTGGTGGATAAAGAACTAAAAGTAGAACCTGACCATGTTAGAAATATTTCGTCGACAGTGGGGGTTATTTGGGAGCAGTGGGGTGCGGGTCGTTCTAGGTGGGGACTTGCTTCCACCTGCAATAATTAATAAATAATTTAATAAATATGTTATTAAAATTAATAAAAAGGTTACCCTGACAACCAAATTCATTATTTTGGAAGTAATTGGTTGTCATGGTAACCAACAATTAATTTTACCCCTCTCTACTTACTTACCTTGATTTTGAGAGGAAAAGTTTCGAGAGGAAGCGAGGCTGCAGTTACTTGGAGACTGGCAGCAATGGAGGCAACGGGGGAGACGAGGCAGCGTGGTGGTTGAGGGAGAAACAGGGAGTAGGCGACCTCTGTCGCGCCCCGATTCAACCCTACAGTTCCCTCTTCCTCACCAGATAGACCACATATCGCTGTGGTCTCCTTAACGTGATTTTTTAGAATTTTCCGTCTCGCAGGGGTACGTGCACACAGGATTTTGCAAAAGTTTGTACAATGTCTGTTTTTTATTTTTTTGACTGGAAACCATAATTTGTTACCTGGTTACGTTTTTTCCACAAAAAAAAAAAACAGACATCCCAAGGAGCCTCAATGAGTATTTACTGCGAATCATAATGCAAGTTTGTGTAATTTTGTGCATAAAAAGATGCGATGGTTAATTTGTACAAAATTTGCGGAAAATTTATATATATTTGCGTACTGCCAATAAACTGGTACGTGATATCCACTAAATTATCACGAATAAATCAGCAGCAAACCAATCAAATAATATAAGTGAAGATTTAGTGCGTATTTGTTGGCGCAGAAGTCTCATGAGATTTCTGGTACAAAATTCATGCATAAGTCGTAACCGGGAAATTGTACTAATTCAAGCGCAGTAAACTCGCCCTAGTAAATTCGCAAACAATTCGTGCTGATTATTCTGCAATAATTTGTTACTAAATTAGTATCATTTTTATGTTCTCGATTAGATAATCAATTCCTCGAACATGCTTAGTCAGTTGTTCTATTAGCCACGCCGTGAAATCAGCTCCATATTTTCCTCTCCATTTTTTATTTACACGTAACAAGATAATAGTAAAGATAATTTCGATCTTATGTCAGACCATTTAAAAAACTTCGTGTTGTTCGAGTTTGAGGTGGATAAAGGGGTGGAGGTTGTGCCATCCGAATGGATTTCAAAGGATAAAACTAAGTGCCAGTTCCCTAATCCTATCCCCAAAGGGTTTTCCTGCCTACAAAGTGACCCGTGTGCCCTTCCTGGAAAAGACTGGACACATTATGACATACTATATGTCGGGACTTATGGTAATTGTTTATATTTGCATAATTTTAGATAATGTTAATGTCACGTAATTTTAGATCATGTCAACTTATTTATGCAAACTTTTTGACAAAATTGGTAGATTTGTACGAAAAGGCCATCAAGAAACTGGAAAAGTATATCAAAAATAAACCAATCGATTCAAGTGAGAACGACGCACCACGGCGGCATCGGCGCAAAGTATCCGCAGAGGACACAAATTCTGTGCTTAAGAGGAATATTCTACCAGCCCCCCGTACTGATTTGCATTGTGAACGTAAGCAAATCATAGTTTTTAAATTGACATGGTCCAAATGGGGTCATTAAAAACGAATGGGACATTCAAAACTAAATTTCTTATTTGGCAGTGTTCGTTAAATAATTTATCTTCGTCTGAAAAATAGGTGGCGAGACCGGTGCTTCGACCGAAGAAGAGATTATAACCAGTGGCCAGAGATTCAAGTCTTTCAAATAGAACCGGACCCACGAATTGAATCTCTGTTAACAGAGTTCAGAAGTAATCACAAATTGTTTCACCTTGAAAAGCTTGTGAAAAAATCAACACGACTAATTGGCACGAATTCTCCGAATATTGCCAAAATCAATTGGCCAGCGAAAAGTTTAGAAGAACTGGAGTCGATCGAAGCAACACTTGGCGATCAATCATACTATAACCAAGAAGTAAGTTTTTGCATAACACAAATTTTAGTCAGAAACCATGCAAATAACGTTAACGACAATTTTTTGCACTACAATTTTCTTATTTTAGGTAGCTCTTCTTGCGCGAAAGGGTGGAGCATCTTTGTCTAAAGATGTGTATGACATGCTTCATTCAATGATTACGAATGATCTACGTGGTAAAATTCGGTATACTGGAAAGAGTAGCAAGATCCCGTTTGCACATAGATTAGCAGCTAATCTAGTACGAGGTTTGTTATTACTATGTATAGTTATTTAATTAAAGGTATCTCAATATTAAACAATTATTATTTATGTATGTATACACAACAGATTCTGTAAAAGCCGGAAACGCTTCTGTGAAAGACTCCCAAATTAATCATCAAATTGGCTGCTGGTTTCGCATGAAATTTACTTCAAACAAAAATGAAGCTGACATCACGCCAAACTCAGAAACGACGAGCAGAGAAACGGCTTCAACAAGCGCTGAGACGGATACGGACAGATTTTGCCCAGTCGACAACACCGTCGTCGGACCTAACAGTGAGTCAGAAGGATAATAGCTAAGATGCAGATGTTTTCACGGATTATGAATTAAATGATGTTGAATTGATAGGCGATAATCTTAGTTTGAGTAGTATTAGTGATGACAGCTCATGGGAGGATGAAGATGAATTGCAAATTGAGGAGAGTAGGATTTCAAAATTATGGCAGCTGGGCAAATGGGCAACAGATTATAATATTAATCACAATGCATTGTCACCACTTTTGGAACTATGTAGGAATTGGATGCCATTCGAAGGCTTTCCAAAGGATCCACGAACCTTATTGAAAACGGACAGACATATTAGGGCAGTAAAAATAGCAGGTGGATTATTTCATCATTTTGGGTTAACTAGTCAAATTAGAAAAATAGTACAACGCGTAAAATTATCAAAAACTGGGTCTCCAATGTTAAAGGGCATTGAGAATTTAATCTCAATTAAAGTTGGTCTCGACGGGCTTCCAATTTCCACAAGTTCAAACCTACAATTTTGGCCAATTCTTGGTAAAGTAGATCAGGATCCTTCGTCTAGTATATTTCTTATTAGTGTATTTTACGGAAGTCAAAAACCGCAATCAATCGAGTCATTCTTATCACCGTTTGTAACTGAAATGAAGGATCTGGAGGTAAACGGCTTAAAAATAGGAGAAATTAATTATTGTGTTCGAATAAGTTGCATCGCAGCATATGCCCCGACAAGAAGTTTTTTTAAACAAGAAGAAGTTTTTTTGACGCTCATAATGCATATTTCGGTTGTGAGAGGTGCTATAGACGGGGCTCTTATAAAAGTCTAGAATTTTGTACCCATTTAAGAAGGAATGTGATCTGTATACTGATCAATCATTTAAAGAACGTTGGTACGAGTCACACCACAAATTAATCAGTCCTTCGCCATTAGAAAGTTTGTCAATAGGAATGATTTCGCAGATTCCTCTGGATTACATGCATTTGTGTTTACTTGGTACAATGAAAAAATTACTTCTCGTTTGGACTGGAGGAAGAAAACCGCATAAATTGTCAAGTCTTCAAAAAACATTAACTTCTGATCGACTTATCCCGTACCGTACTCAAATTGCTAGTTTTCGCGTAAATGTAGAAGTCTTCGAGACTTGAAGCATTGGAAGGCTTACATATTTTCTTACAGTGGCAGAGGGTCTGGCATAGAGTTGGACTTGGACACGCGAAGTATGCAACTGGTTGGTTCAGCAACACTCCCACTTTTCCACGGAGTATCATCATCCGTTTATGGTGGAGAGTTTGCATTCATTATTGGTGGTTACGACAATTCGAGCGCACGTACAGACGGAATTTACAAATTCGATCCTGTTACTTATGAGAACACTTTCATTCCCGTGGAGAATTTCCACATATTTTGATATTGGACCGAATTCAGTTTATGTACCACGTTTGAATAGAATTTACTGCTTTGGAGGTTACTCATACCCTCCTGAAGTGTACATGATGACATTTTCTACATTTATTTGTCCCCGCTTGAGTCGACAACAGAGCCTCCTGCTCCGACTACTTCAACCGACCTCCCCATAAGCAGTACCACGCTAAACCCGGTATTCCTCACTTGCACTTATAAGGCAAATAGTATGCACATTTTTGTAATTGTTTCAAAAATTTATACATGCAAGTAATCATTTCAAGACTAAATACTTGCCTCGCTTTTAAATTTAAAATCCTGCCACCAATATATTTAGCAAATAGCAACGATATCATTCATTTAAAGTGATAGACACAAAAACTAATTCGGCATTAATTGCCCCAGACGGTGGTAGCCCAGTAGTTAAATATCCCTTACAATAGTATTTCTTTACGTCCCTAGGTTTCTACCCGCATCCCAGCGACTGCTCCATGTTTATCGGATGTCGGGACGGAGAAATGGATCTTCTCAGCTGTCAGCCACCCTTGCTATTCGACACGGTAGAAAAAGTATGCGATTTTATTGATGAACTACAATGTGGCACGTCCTGTGTGGATCGACCCGATGGGCGATACCCTCACCCGCACGACTGTTCTCTATACATCATTTGTCGCTCAGGGGTAACTAATCTTGTAAAGTGTCCACCACCACTTCTATTCGACGGCGAGGAACTTGCCTGTACCTACCCGGAAAACGTCAACTGCTCAATTATTATCTGATTCAATATTATAATATATGTAAAAAATTGTCAGCATTTGTCACTTTCTCTCTCTCTTCTCTCTTCAAATTTAATATTTCGATTTCTAAAGCTTGAGTGAATAAAATATGTTTTCTTTTGCATCCCAAACATTCGTGCATTATTATCATCAATATTGTATATACAAAGACCTGGCTCGATGGTCAAGTGGTTAGAGGCTCTGGACTCTGGACAGAGCAAATCTCTTTTCACAAAAAGGAGCCGGGTCGAAACTGGGTGATGGCTGGAGTTTTTGGTAAATCGACGTCATCGTACTGGATGGATGTCTGCTTGGGGATAGCCAGCGCCGTGATTAGGCAAATGCTGGCTCCTATTTGGATAGACTCCGATACGGTACATGATGATTGTACGATACTTGTTTCCTCCAGCACAGGGATTTGCATTTACGCTAATGATAATTGAAGTAGTATTGTGCACTGTGCCTGTCCAAATGGAATCATCCACTACCTAGTTAAAATCTCCCTATCCTATCTGCGACGTCTGCAAGAGCCATGAGCTAAGAAGCGGACTATAAACCCTCCTTTTTTATATATTGCATATACATACTAATGGATAACCTAACCTAACCTAACCCATTGCATATACATACTAATGGATAAGTGATTACCTTTTGCAATGAAATTGTCAAGTGAAATTCCACCTAGAATGCGGCGTAATTATCGTAAGCATGAAACAAGTTAACTCCTTACACATATATGGGGAAATAAATTTATTACCCTCTCATTAAACCTTGCTGGCAACTAGAACTGTGGCATTGTTTATTGACTTGTATATGTATATTTGGTTTATCATTTAAATAAATCAATCTTTGTTTATAACAATTTGTCTGTTTAAAAGGATAAATCAGGATAAATCAGTTTACTAATAAATCCTGACTCGGGCTAAATAATGTCTGCACTGTAGGTTTTACATATGCAGTACCTGCGGAAAATTTCTCACCTTATTCGAACTGCTTGATTTTATTCATTGATTTGATTTTAAAATAATAAATGGTAGCAAAATAGCAATTTCACAATATGCAACTTTCTTTGAGGGCCGGAAATGCACAAGTCCGGAAATTTCCTACGTCAGGAAATGCTCGTCCTGAAATGCTCTTCCGCAACTTTCCTGCCACCCTCTCTGCTCCACTCGAACGCCGGATATGCCAGAGTTTGTAAATTTGTCCCAGTAGCCTCAATCCCGAAATGAACAAATTCACATCCTTCGTGTATGCAAGCCGTGCCTTGGGAAAATGCTCTGATAATAGAGGTTGCAGTTTGCATCAAAGTGTACGTCGTCATACCTACACTCCCTCAAAATTTCATTCAAATTTAAAAATACATAATAGCTCTCCCAAGAAACTCAAAATTTTAGTTAACTTAGCTAGGAAAATTAAATTCAAGTGCAGTGTTCCCCCTCTTTTCCCTCACAACACCCAAACACCCCAATTTTCACCAATTTTATACATTTTAGCAGCCCCAGCCGTCTGCCATCTTGGGTCCGAAGGTAACGATAAATTAACAAGAATATAGCAAAAAGGACAACAAGATTATGGTAGCAGTACTCCATGCATACGTAGTCTCACGTTAGGGAAGCGTTAGCACTAGCATACTCTCCTTGCAGACTGACATCACTATAAATTGTAACTCGCTTCATATAGGACTTACGAATTTGAAATTAGTGTTGAAAATCAGACAAAATTTTTTACCCCATAAGGAAGATAACAAAAAATTTATTCTGTCATATTCATATCAGCGCAATCCATACTTCATGCGGTCGATAACTTTTGCGGTCGAAAAGAACATTAGTATGACATAAATTGTGCACGGCCAAGAAAAAATACAGTTCTAGAAATTATGCTTAGTGTTAAAATATGGATACAATTTTGTTCTACGCAAAAACAGTTTACATTACAGTTTCATTTTATTAGTCCCCGGCATTCGGATTCCTTCGCTTAATAACCAGCAAAACGGAATGGTATATGAAATGGTAAGTAGTTATGTATGTATATTATTACTCATTTTGTTAGCCACGCTTGATAACTTGGTACATACGTGTTTACCGTATAAAATAAACCATTTTTATCTGCATAGTAATGTGCCGGATCAATGTTGAAATTGAAGCTCAGATAGATAAGTTACATAGAAAGAGAGGCAGATTAATCGGTCCGAGATTACGGTGATTGATGTATCCCCCAAAAAAATGAGAACAAGGTTGGCACCCAATCAGTAGTCGGGTGCTGGTTTGGTTGTACAAAATCAAGTTGCCAAAATTACAAAGTCCAATTGCCATGCCACCTCTTCCGATTAAAGAACTCGTTAAAATATTTATCCAAGATGTGCATCTGGTTGAGGGTAGGTGTCAATTTATTGACTCCCTTGGCATCGCCCCAGCCACGAAAATTCCATTGGAAGGGCTTTACACTCATAAAACCATAACAGCGACTGACTATTTCAGCCGGATTCTACACGACTGGGCTGGTCGCGTTGGAGGTGAAGCTACGGTTTTGGAACTTATTAAAATTTTGCGAGATGAGGAGTTCGTGAGTGTGGCGGGTAGGTGAATATATTTGAAAAAAATAACTAGCTCCCTTCTTAGGTTTAAATATAAGGAATTTATTTCATGGTAATCAGATGCAGTGCAAGAACAGCTTATTTGCGGGAATGATAAATCCGTAAAGTTGGGGAATCACAGTGCCCACGGTGATCATGTTGATGTGGAGCCAGGATCACGTGATCAGGGTATGTCAAATTATAAATAAGGAAAATATTCAAGCAATGAATTTGTAGTACTAATTCCAAGGGTTGCTGGTCGGGTCCCCTTCCCGGTCAGTTTGAATTACGTAACGACTGACCTTGAACCCTGTGGTGAACGTACAGAGTTACTGTGCACACGGCAAGATATTCAAAATCCAGGTATCTGAGGGCAATCTATATATTCAGCAGAGGGAGTTTAACATTTATATTACATATATTAACAGGTAGCAATGCCGAGCAGAACACTTGTCCCGTCTTTCAGGAAACAGCTGTTACATCTTTCCGGTGGCAGTCTCCTCGTGTCCCAATCATTGCATCTGTTCTTGGAGTAATAATTATTTTCCTGGTTGGTGTCACACTTGTAATTATCAATATCGAAAGAACCCCATCTGCCATAAAACAGGATTATTCTGTCTCCAACATCAATGACACAGTAACTTCAGATGTTTCATCAACTACGAGGAAACGTCGACCTGAATACCTCAATTCTGTGACCACCTCGCAAACTGTATATAAATCAGTCACCTCTACGCAGTCCTTTACTTCCTTTACTCAACCTAGCGACATGTCTTGGAGGAGAGGCGTTAAACGAATCAAAATATTCCGTTTTGCTGATCTAAAAGATTTTTGTGATACCCGCATAATCCTTGAGCTGCACTACCCTCAAATATTTCTAGAAAATGATCTTTCAGACTTCAATAATGTACAATGTGTCGATCATGTCTTTCAGTTGGCTATATTTGTTAAAGTAACACAATTTCAGCTGAGCAGGATCACTCAGCTGTTCCGAGACGTTGAGAATTTGGCTTTTGTAACGTCGGCAACATGCAGTGAGGCGGATCAGGATATGAGTGGATCATTTCAAAAAATTTCCCGTCAAGTGTACCCCTCTCTCGAACAGTTGACCCTGGTCAAGCTCTCTGTATGTTCTGGGCTCTTCCAGATGCTGAATGCCACTCTAACCTTCCCGAATTTGAAATTGCTTCCCGTCTATCACTTATCACTAAAGGACACGGACAACGCATTCCTTCAAGATATCGTGTCCATGGCAAAATTTCCGCCAAAATTTCAATGCACTGAATGCATTAGATTTTACTTGACTGAATTTGAATGTTCTGGTTACATAATTACCAATTTCAAGTGTGCTGTTCAAGCTGGTATCCTGGGGTTGGGAATGGTTTGAATAAATCGATTAATGAGACATAAAATGTGTACAATTTAAAAATATACACTCCGTCTCGAAATCTTAGTTCCACCTACATTTCACTTTACCGATTTTGGTCACATTAAAAGTTTACGGTACCTTATTTCATGTTTACCAATATTATAAAAATGAGATAATTATATTTTCCGCGGTAAATTTATATCAATTAAGTTTTTTTAAACAATACGATTTGCCTCGCCTAAAAAAGTTAGATCCACTTTTTTGTTCTCTGTTTTTGAAGCATCATTTTACACCGACTGCTGGTTAATTATGATGTATGATGGTTAAGTATGATTAATTTGTTAATTCTTGAGAGTTTGGAAACTGATGTTTTTAAGAAACATTGAATAAAGGACGAATGAATTAATTTCCTAGTTATAATGAATCCGATTTACAAAATGTAATCCACCCCCTGCATCTATGTAAGCATTCATAAGCTCTGGACCCATTAATCGACTATTTTTTGCCATCTCAACTACCGACAATCTGCAATGAAATTTGAGAGCTATAGATATTTTTCTTTGGATATAAAATCCTTCGTGCGAAACTTAAATACATGAATAATTAACCATACATAATTAGCCAACAATGGTTGAAAGAATTGTACAAGTTTATTCTCACTCAAATATTGACTTAGGTAGTCACAGATGATTGTTTAAATTCACAATTTATAAGGAATAATTCTAAACACGGACCAAATGTCTCCCCAGCGGTAATAAAAATTTCACCAACATTGTTAGTAATTTGTTACTCTGAGATGACACATTGTAACCATAATTATTACCTACGGTAGGATTGGATAGTACCCCCGGCGGCAATTTTGTTACCCAATTATTTTGAGTATATGAAAATCAAGAGCAGAAAAGTCACGTAGAACAGGATTCGCTGTATGATTGATCATAGCGTGTAAACCTGGACTCAACGCAGCCTGCGTGCATGCAATAGGGGCTCTCAACCTCCAAGAAATAATTAGGTTTACAAAGTTATGAAGAATTTCAAACTCCAGTATGTAAATACTTATATGCTGATTGTATCAGGGTGTGTTAATTATTAATTATTAATTTATTATTATTATTATTATGAAGGCCTATAAGCCTACAAATCTTTGCAAATCTGGAAATCTTTGTCTAATAATGATTCAATTTTTCTTATTTGGATCAAGGGCATTTCTGCTGAGTTCTCGTCGTCAGAGCTATCATTAGCCAATTCGTCCTTAATTCGGATATTAAGAGATGGCACATTTTCAGATGGGGGAGAATCTTCTGGGAATTTCTGAAACACGATAGTTTTTTTTATTTACAAGTACAAGACTAACCACCCTATTTACCTACCATTGATTTCAAATCCAAGTCAGATTTCAAATGACAAACTCGTGTCCCAACTTTTAGAATTTTGGCATTTTTCAAAAGTAAAGTTCGACAAAATTCACAATGTTCAAGATTTCGGCTGATGGTACCGCAGTGGGAGCAAACTGCTTCGTATCCAGGTATTATGAGTGGCATCTATAAAATAGAAGAAAATTATGTACACAATCCTTTACTCAAAATGTGATAATTATGAAAGCATCCTATTAATTCTTCCGAAATTGTAGGGACAAAAAGTCATAATTATTTTCAACCTTGAAAGTTACGTCAACATTTGTGGTTTCCTCCAACTTGACTTTTGACTTTGACCAACCAGAAATTTAGTGAGATTAAGTGGTTCGGTAACTTCAACTGATGGTGAATTCTCTCCTTTCCTGTCCGACATTACTGGTCTGCTTAATACCAAATTTAAAATTAAACCCAACACGGGACGGACATCATGCTTAAATAATTCTAGTACTTACTCCAGCTTGATAATATTATTTTGTGTGGAGTTTTTATTATTGATCCCTCCACTGCCAACAGTTCTGTTGAATTTGGTTTTGGGTTTAGTCAGAATTTTTGGTTGTCTAATTCTCCTATTTTTCGACTTTCTTGCTTTCAAGTCTTCCAACGGATCGTATTCCGAGTCTGATGAGTACTCTGTGTCAGAAGATGACGAATCTAAAGCTTGACTAGAAACACAAGAATTAATAATACTGTCGTAAAAAATTAAAGATTGTACTTAATAAACCAACTTACTCCTCGTCCTCCACCCCACATTTTTCCAACTTTGAATTGTTTCGATTTTCTCTTCCCTGCAAAAAATAGGAATAACTGCAAAATATATAAGTAATACACACATCTATCCTGATTATCTATCACTCTTTTAGTTAGCTCTTTCAGTATAAGTTGCAAATTGTTAATTTGTTCCGAAATATTCCAAGATTCAAGTACAAATTCCTTGAAACATGATTCACAAGGTTCAGCACTGTTGGTGTTGATGGTGCTCGATACTCCTTCATTCGTTAGCATTATATGTTTCCAATCTTGAACCTGTTTCTGGTACAATCTCTCACGATGCATCTTCATACTAGAAATGTCAATTTTACAAATGATACACTTTGGAGAGGAACTCCTGCAATCAGATCCAGTGGCGAAAGATTGTGATGTTTTTGAATCATTCTTATTGGAAGAGGGGACAGAGATCAAGCTGCTTGTTGTTTCATCTAATTTTGTTTTAGCAGGCCGTCCTCCACGTTTTGTTTTTGGTTTGGATCTTGCAGTGGACAGAGAAACTCGAGGTACAGATGACGATAAAAAAGGTGACGACGACCCATCATCCCAACCAGGTGGGGGTACCTAAATACAATTTAATAAATATAATAATAGTAATAATTTATTTTAATAATAATCCTTACAAACTCATGTCACATACATACAGTTACAGGTTATAACATAATCATGTATTATTTATTTACTCAAATCCAAGTATGAATAATTCACGAATAATTTATAATGTATGCCGCATACATCACTACATATTAAATTCAAGATAATAAATGTCAAAATATTAAAAATATAAACACGTAAATAAATTCCAAATAAAACGTTTGCCCCCAAATTCTCACTTCTTCCTCAAAGGATGATGGGGGATTTTCGTCCCCCTTCACACCAGCTTTGAGTAGTAGTTTTCTCTTCCTTCGTGCCATAATTAATTGTTGATGAAGTTGCAGTTTTTTGTACTTGAACTTGTTTGAATTAAATCAGATACTCTCATCTGTTTACTTTCACTACTGAGAGTAGCGGATCGCTTCCCGGTGTCCATCATCATTCCCTTTGTTTGGGCATGCTCGGTCTGGGTATGTATAGATATGCATGAAACAGTTCATGAGAATTCTCATCACTAATAATATTTCACTTGTTGTGTACATTAATTCAATTAAATAAGATATACATAAGCGTATATAATAATAAATTATGTTAAAACGTAATCAATAATTATATTAAAACGTAATCAATAATTATATTAATATTAATACTATTACAGGTTCAAATGTCACATTTGCAGTAACCGACCAATAATTTTAACGATATTTTATGTCATAAGGGCCGATAAGGGTAGTAAAATACAAAATAAATATTACACCAAGAAAATCAAATTGGATCGTTTTTATCAATTTACCACGTTGAATATGTTTAATTTAATTAAGAATCAGTTTTGTCTTTCTCCCATTCTCCACCTTCAAGCAATATACTTATTACATTGTTACTTTAATATATTAGTAAGTTCACTAATTTCCAGTATAACAATTATGGGAGTCATGCATTTAAACTTCTAGAAACATACTTGTAGGTATATTTTCCTCGCTCCCGCTCCAAATGAAAAATACATGACACGATATATCAAATCGATATAGAGCACGATTCCATCGATCCAGCATCAAAAACATGATAAATTGTAAGAAGGGGTATTATGCTTTCCTTCATCGAACCACATCTTATTTTCACTCTGGAAGATTATGTTATCTGTTCGTATAAAGAATTATTGGACAAAACTATTTCTGCTAGAGGAAATTATTTTTAATTTGAATGTCTACCGGGAGGATAACATTTAAAATTGTATTACAAATTAAGACGATGTGAAATTTGCGTGGACGTAATACTTTTCTGCACACGAATTATATATGCGAAATAGCATTTACATTTGGTGAACTAATTCTGACAAAAATGTAGTAATGCACTTCATTTAATTAGGAAAATGTCTTTCTATATGCCACCAACTTCACTTCCATCAAAATCTCTTCTCTAAGTACATCGGTAAAAATATTTTCGACCCCCACAGGTCTAATAAGATGGTGCATCTTCAAACTCATAAATTCTATTCGCAAAATACACATGTGTGCTCAAGTTCAAGTCGATTAGATCAATTAAAAGAAACTTATCGCGAGTCATACCGACGGACACGACGATTACATAAGCCCTGGTTCGGGCCAAAACCTAATATTTCGATGCAGTAAAAAGACCCTTCTCCAAATCCATTCAACGTCACGTCTTACAATTAACAAGTAACCCGTAAACAAATCTACCTCTATACCTAAATAAATTCAGAGTAAAATCCGCAGATTATAACTCTAGTGTATTTCTTCTTACTCCTATTAGTAAAATGAACTATCTACAAATTCAGAAAATGTGGGGCACGAGACCAATTATTCAATCATCGTTATTACACATGCAATTAAATGTGATATATTTTGATGAATATTATGATTATATGTGACACTTATTTGTTAGTTAAAGAAAAACCTAACAACCCGTAGTGAAGCATATTATACATCATTGCGTACATGGATTCAATTCTGCAATTGTTTGCTGGAATGATTTGTGATAACCATATGAAACTTAATTTGTATTAGTGACGTATTATTGTTGAAGGAGAGGATTGATTATTATTGTTATCGGTGGAGATTGCTCATGGACGTGTTTTGTGCCACATAATTTATCATGATAATTATCCTCCTTATCTTGACCATTACGGAAGGCATAGAGTTTTAATATGAATTCGTATCGTGATTTCCACATTGAACAGAAATGAATTCAAGAATTAGCCTTAACTTAACTGCGAAACTCACTTATTGAATTTGGAATGGGGTTAAATTATTTAAACCCGTTTTTTTTAATTCTGGAATTTAAAACTTTTTCCACTGACACACTTCTAGAAGATTGTTTTATCGATTCTAATCAAAAAGTTTTTAGAAATTGTTCAAAAAAATTTGAAATCTTGTAATGGAAAATTTCAAAGTGTTAGATTTTCAGATCGGGATCGATAAAATAACCATCTATTATTATTTCGGTGATACAATTTACACTTTGATAATAAACGAATGTGTATTTTCGATTTTGCAAGTAGATCAATTTTGTCGTGTATATTTTTTGCATGTAAGTATCACCATCTTATTGAAGGATTGCAATTTTTTAAGTTACTACAAGATAATATTGATATACTTATTTTGCCAATGATGTGCAAACTCACAACTGACATAAATCCATTTCGTGTCAAATCACAGCATACAATTCTTATTTACCTTGCAAATTTAGTGCCGTATCTCAAGCTTATGTAAGTTGCAGTTGCAGCCAAAATTATGAATCTACCATCTATATTATAATTTACATAAGTTGGTCCCGTTGAAATTATCTGTGATATTCCAGTGTTCTGATTGGTCGAGAGAATAGTAGCTCCGCCTCCAACTTTAAGTTCTTCAATATAACTTTAAACTATGAATATGACTTTACAATGTGACTATGACAATTAACTTGTTTATGAAATTGAAATTATGAGAATGGCTGTAATTGTTGATATGGCTGTAATTGTTGATATGGCTGTAATTGTTGATATGGCTGTAATTGTTGTCGCTGTTATTGTTGCTATGCATATTAAATGTTTCAGAGTTTGTTAAACAAAAAATCCATCGGACTTGTGTCAGGTGACTTAATAGGGATTTCCGAGTTAGATATCAAGGTCATTCCGGTTCTTGCTTTTAAATCTTGGGCGTACTGCTGGGTAAACTTCGCAGTATGTGACGATGCCGCGTCGTGATGGATGAAAACTTTGTCCAACTCCCCAGGGTACTTTTTTGGAATTTCGACTTCTAACTGTCGTAAAACATTGTCCACATAATACTTGGAGTTAATTTTAGCATTTGACCTGACAGGTATTAATTTTATCACCCCACGGCCCGTCATTGCACCAACTACCATGAATCGATCAGAGAACTTTCCTTTTTTCTGTACTTTTGTACTTCTGTACTTTTTCTGTACTTTCTGTACTTTTTTTCTGAACACATATTTTGATACTCGGTTCCGGTCCTTTGAGTAACAAATTCCTCATAACCTGTTTCAGTCTTCGACGAAGAAGAGTGCCTCATCCAATGTGACGACATACTCGGACCTTTTACCCGCAAGATGACCCTCATAGAGCTTCCTACTGTTTGTTTTTCTGTTTGCAATATGACATGGTTTTAATGCGTGGAGTTTTGCTTTCTTTTGCACGGTTTTTCCAAAATCTTGAAGGATGATTATATTAACATACGACATGGATATCTGGCATTGCTTTGCGATCTCTCTTTGGGGCGGGGGATTCTCCTTATCGGTGAGACGGTCAATTTTCTTCAGGATGGCAGAATTCTTTTTTGAGGGGTATGAATTTCGTGGTACACCTTGGCCGGATGCAACTGATTGTCGTCGCTTTCCTTTGCAATTGACAATATTATATATTGTGTTGACACACAAATGAGTTGGGGTTGGTATGCAAAGGGCATCAAGATCCAAGTCGGCCCAGTGGTGAGCCTCTCATCCTAATTGAAGATGATGAAGCTTTCGATCATAAGAGAACCACTTGAGAAGAAACTTACTGGATGAAATTTGAAAGAATCTCTGATCAATACTATTAACGTTATTGAACAATTGGGTCAATATTATTAAATTTCGTAACTTAACCCTACACGAATGTCAATACGTTATAACGCATTTCATTTTTCGAATTAGAAAGAAACAGTACACATACTTTTGATACCATGCTTACAGTGATGTTTAAGTAATTATCATATTTATTTACTTGCACTGTATTTATATATCCTTTAACTTGCTTCAAGTTCTTGCAAGACGATCTATGTCCGAGTACATGTTGTGATGAAAAAGCATACATTCTCAATTTCGAAGGTGACAGATGCACCTGTATGAGTGTAAGTTGTAAAGGTTATTTACATACCGAATCCGATCGTAATTAATTAACGTTTTCCATTGTAAAACTCCATGGCAGAAGGCTCGAGTTTATATGAATTTAAAAGTGGATAGAATCATTTTACTTGACTTTATTTAAGATATGAATCATTTGAAAAAGTTAAAAATACAATTTCCATCATTCTTTATCTGCAATTAACCACATGTCCATTGCATTACACATAAATATTATATACTTCCGTTTTTATGGGCAAAGAAATTACGTTGGCAGATGACAGGTGGGATGGGAGCATAATGTTGGCTGTGATGGGACTGATCTGAGTCATATTTTAAAAAGATGAGGAAACGAAGCCAAAAATACAACTTGATTTCACTGCACGATACTGCCTCCTCAATTATGATATCCTCCAAGTAGATACATTCCTTTAAACTACCCAGATTACAGAAACAAACCGAATAGAGAGAGGCGAATGTTTTACACGACCCACATTTATGCTATTAGTATCATTTTGAGACCACTTGTCCCCTCACTACTCAAACAGTGATAGGATTTGGCATGAAAATGGGATACATTAAAGTGATAGAGGGAATCTGGTTAGGTTATGAATACAGTTTTTTCCTTCCTGCATTTCATTTCGAACTTGACATCTCCTCACTTCGGACGGGTATCAGATAGGTTTAGAACAATACAATATTTTTGGCCACGTATCTCCCCCCCCTGGAATTTTGTTGCCGGGTTTCTTGGTTGACATTAGGGGGTCAGGTTTCGTTGATTTCCATGACCTGGCTCCACCGAACGGCAAGGCCTCAAAGTACGCCAAAAACGGTCATTTTTTGGATCTTTGGTCGGGAACGGTTCCGAATTTCGAGTTTAAATTTGGCAGGCTTTTGGTGTAAATAAGACCAAAAGCTATCGAATGCAGTTAATTTCACGTCGCGATGGGGGTGTGGTCATGGAAATCAACTAAACACGACCGCCTAATGTCAAATATGGCAAGAAACCCTGACAAAATTCGAGGGCCGGGAGAGTGGTGGCCAAAAATATTGTATTCTTCTAAACCTATTCTGCACGATACGCAACATTCATTCCTTTCTT